AAGATTTATAAAAAAAAAAAAAAAAAATCCTCGTCTCACCCCTCGGTGAGACGAGGATATATATATAGATAGATAGATAGATAGATAGATAGATAGATAGATAGATAGATAGATAGATAGATAGATAGATAGATATCTATACACACACGCACGCACGTGCGCGCGCATATATATATATATATATACACACAAAATTAAAATTCCTCGTCTCACCCCTCGGGTGGCTGACTATGGTTCTGAAGTTAGGGGTTTTCTGGGAAAACTACCTGAAACAATATGCACTATCGTGCTATTAGGCCTTTTTTAGGAGTTCACAAATTTGCGACATCTTTGGCCATCAGTGGAGATGAGGGATGGGAGCCGCCAAATATTAGACATAGGTGTCACCAAGTTCGGCTCTGGAATAGACCGCCCCATCTCCGTTCCTTGAAATCCAAAACTCGGCAGCTTGAAAGACTTTACAGGAAAACTGGTCTCACCGTTCACAAGGACATCTATACAGCTCAACTATCCGTCTACAAGGATTCCATCTCGCAAGCAAAATCACAGTACTACTCTGCACTCATCTGCTCCAATGCTGGAAATACAAAGACTCTTTTTTCCCTCTGGAACAAAATCACTCAACCCCCTGACTCCCTACCACTTCACTTTTACTCTTCTGACACCTGCAACGCTCTTCTCCTATTTTTCAATGAAAAAAAATCAACAAAATTCACCAGCACCTAGGCTCCTCTGTACCTCTCCCCTCCTCTGACCATCTTACCCCTTGCAAACTGTTATCTTCTTTTGAACTCCCCCATTTTTCATTAATCTCAGACCTCATCATTAAATCCAAGACTTCCTCCTGTCAGCTCGATCCCCTCCCTACAGTCTTGGTCAAATCCTGTTTACCCTCTCTGCTTCCCTTCATCTCAGCCATTATCCATTCCTCTCTGTCTACTGGAATTGTTCCTATGCCCTTCAAAACTGCAGCTGTCACCCCAATTCTGAAAAAAACTGGTTCAGATCCCAATGATTTCAATAACCTACGCCCCATTTC